ACAGAGTTAGCACCCTCCCTTCACCACGGTCGAGAGCCTAACTTCCTCGAACGCCGCAGAGGAGCTCCGAAGAGGGCAAATCGGCAGAGTACAATCGGAACTATAGTAATGGGAGCAACTGGACTTCACAAGTTCCTTCGAGTTCCTTTTCTATCCACGGCCCAGATTCTTTCAGCGCGCTCTATAGTTTAGTGCGTCGCTATAGTTGCCCGCATTAGACGCCTCTGTAATAAAAGAGCTACATTCGTGCGCTAAATTGAAATGCGAGCCTGCACAAGTACAGTTATCAAGTGTACAATGCTGCGGCGTGGTTCTTTTGAGGGTGCTGACTGGCCGTCGTCATCCGCTTCGGGCGATATGGCTTATTACCTATAGCTTGCAAAGTGAAATTGCCGCTACGCGTTCGAGACCCGAGACTTCACTGCGCAAGTCGCACTTGCAAAACACACCTGACGCGTTACGCTTGTCCGTCACAGGACACCATTATAGCGCCGACAAGACCGAGGTAGCCATTTTCCCGGTACTCTGATGAGCTGAAAGTTTTACCCCTGTATTCACAAACGCTCCTCGACTTGACTTCCACCCTTCACTTGACAGAGTTGAGCACTGCGCCACCGCTCGGCTGAAAATGACACTGCGCTACTCGAGAATTGCAACAGATTATCGTTGATATGCAGCTACTTGCGGCTCCTAGAGAAGGCGCTCTCATCGGCTTTCTCAAGTGAAGGTGAAGCGTTGAGTGGAGGGACGTTCTAGAATACGGGGGTTAGAGCAGATCCTGGCTGCCGACCGTATGGCGCCCGTCCCCCGCGGGTGCTTCAGCGATTCAGAAGCGGAGCTGCTGCCAAATCCGCTGATCACGCCCAAGTTGTGTTGCCTACTTTCAACGAGTTCTTTGGGAATAGATGGATACATGATAAGCAGCTATACTTGTATGCACGTCTTTACCTTTCTCTACTATATAGCTACTTGCGATGCGTTATGTTTTTCAAGTGAGTATATTTTCGAGGTTTTGCGTGCCGAGTTTTTCAAGATTTCTACTGGTATAAATAAGCTTGCAGCTTCTATTTTTCGCGCAAGGTTTTGTTTGTGAAGTCACAACAAACTTTTCTACACTGTACAGCTGTCACGTTGTCGTTTTGAATTACAAAGAGAAAAACGCAAAAGCGGTAAAAACTTCATTTCGACACCAGCTATTGAGCACCCTACAATACTGCGCACCCCCCCCCCCCAAAAAAAAAAAAAACCACATGCATAAGTGCGAGAAAAAAAAAAATATCGCATATGGAACCACCGATATGGGCTATATGTGGGTTTCTTCAAATTTACGCATTTGGCCACGTATGGGCTACTATGGAGCCCAATTCGTCAATTCGAGGTCCGTGCCATCTGGAAATCCTGCTTTAACCAGCAGACCACTTTTCGGTGGCTCCTTACGAGTCCGCTGTGCACGTGTTGAAAAATTTGGATTTCTCGAGTCGTGACACTGCTTTCCCGTTCCCTGTTCGAAAGGTCCTCTTGATGCCGAAGTGCGCCACAGTCCTGTGCGCTGACGCGTTCGAACGTCGCACATGCTAGGTGGTGACTACACTGTAGTGGTGACAGTCACACACACCGTTTTTTTTTTTTTGAAGCCCTCTCAAAACTAAACTGGTCGGTAATAAAGAGCTTGTAATTAAATTAATCACATTTCGCACTCTGCAGCAAACGATGCGCCGTGTTATGACCCCCAGCAACACATTGCAAAAAGAAAAAGAAAATACGCGAGGCCAACCGTTTCGTGTCAGTACGCCTTTAAATGTGCACCTAAATCTGAGCGTACGGGCCTCGGACACTCGCGCCCAAATAGAGAATGCGACAGCTGCAAACGGGACTCGACCCCGCGACCTTCGGGGTCAGAATCAGAGTACCATAAGGCCACCTAGGCGGATCGTATAGCCCACAGTGAGACATACGTGAAATATCGATAAACTTCTACGTCAGAAAGTGCAGCCGCCACATACTCGAGGCGGTGCCGATGAGTATCCGGGAGGAAATACTTGTTAGGCAAGTTGGTTTACGCGAAAGGGGGTAAATAATATCGCCAAATTGGAAAACAAAGACTCGAGAAAAGAAGTAAGAGCGAGTAGAAAAGCGCGCCATCATGCAACACTTCGAATACCCAAGTAACAACACCGTGCAGCATGCCGATTACGCCGACAGAGACGTTCACTAAGTAATTTTAATACCGGCTTTTTTTTTTTTTTTCACGAATCCTGCACCACCATTGCAAAAGAGCACCTAAGTTGCGCTATAATTGGTTGAAGTTAATTCCGTAATGCTTTAACTGTGCCGATACAAACAAACAAAATGAAAGAATGCATATGCTGTCCTTTGGTTTCTCTTTGTTTGTTTTTTTTACGTGACGCGCACAAATCGAGCGCCGGCTATTCCTCGTATTTGCGCAGTTAACACCACTTCATATCAATCATTTCATCCGGCATCACAGGTGATACGAAACAACGGGTTCACACAAGTACAGACGCGTGTTTGTAAAATCACCTATGCGTCGGACCAGTTTTGTCAAGAGATGGTTGTTGCTGCTACTGGTTTTTGTGCGTGTGGCCTCTTGAAGGTGGCAACATGTGGCATTATCAAAGGTCATTTTCATCAAAGAAAGCTCAGTCGGTAGTTCAGCACTAGTCCTGTTTGTACCCTCGCAAATATGGCATTAACTATTCCAAACAATATCACTACAGGTATGGAAGTTGTGATCGACAGAAAACGGCAGACCTTTCGGGTTGGTCTTTGCGATACCGCTGAAAGGTAGGTAACCGTGTATTTGCAACATTTGTGTGCGCGGTATGTGGCAACGCCCCTGAATTGTAAACAGCTTGATAAGGTACGCTCCTTTGATCACACGCAAGCGACACACTAAATTAGTTTCGACTGAATTATTGGCTGAAAACTACATTGCCGCTTATTCCACGACATTTGTATGTATTATCCGAAGGAAAAAAATAACATGTTAGAATTTCACGCCAGAACCCCAGCAGCTGAGTGCGACGTGACGCGACACGTCACAAACCTCATCACAATAATTCGCCCACCACTGACTCATTCGAAACTGCCAGAAGCTAGCCGTTTTAATTCTGCGGTTCCCCGTGAACACAATGATATTCATTTTTTTTTTTCACAATGAACAGCGACATACGCTAACGAAGTCTACAATCAACGATGTCATGTCTACGTGCAAACTATGACAGCGTCGCCACCGATCTACTCATTTAGAGTTTTTTTGTTTTTTTTTTTGTATTACAAGAGCGGTGATCTGGTGTTGTGGAAACGTAATTCACTCACTTGTGTCCCGGCACGGTAAACTGGTTGGATTTAAGGTAAGCAGCCTGGAATGCACGCAAATATGAAGGGCCGTGTCATAGGTAGAAGAATGTGCGACGCTGAGAGTACGTGGGCGAAGAAACAGCGTTTCTGTGCGCCTCTATCTTTTTTTTTTTTTCGGCTTGGCGTGCTGACGTTCGCCTCAGCGCAACTACAGCGAGGGCACACGCATGTGCAATACTCGAGTGGCGACTAACCACACAGTGCGCAACTCGCTGTTTGCACAGATAAGCGACTCGCGTTGACATTCGCTAGCGCGAAAAAAACAACCGCTTTATTTTAAACTGCGATGCGCCCTCCGAAATTCGCGCGTTCTATTTAAAAACACAGCTGACGACGAGGCGACGTATGTGCCAGCGCAAGTGTTCCGCGTCTATCCCTTGTTGCAGCGGAAAGAGAAATCGGTCCCCATTGTATCAGTCTCCAAGACCACGATGCTCCCCATTCACCACAACATGCGACAAGCGAAAGCACACTGCGCGCTGCAAGTGACCACATATTTCGATCCCACAGATTCGCACGACGAACACGTTACGAAATTTGTGTCCACTGAAGAGCCTTGGCTGCTTGAACACGCAAAAACGTAGACTGAAGGCATCCCAATTAAGCTCTAGGTGGGCGGACATCCCAAGCATTACAGTGAAGCCCACTTCGCCCCCACATTCAAGGCTAAACATGAATGAGTGTTGTTTGGTTTATCGCAAACACGAATTCCGTCCCAATAAGTCTTTCAGAAACTTTAGCTAATTAACGCGTTCGGAAGACAACGAAAAATTGCGGTAGTGCCTAAAAATTGCGGGCGCAAATAAATCGGCGCCGGCCTCACGCACTCGCTGGCGACACCGAGCAATACCGCCAAAAAAGCAGGCATTGCAACTGCAGCCTTCAGAAAGGCTTAGTGCGGCGTGCCAATGCTCGAACACGAATGCTCGTCACGGCTGCCGACGACCTGACACCGTATTTGTTGACAACCGCGGCTCACCGCAGCCGCGTGCCCGAATCGGGAATGAGCGTCTCGGAGGATGGCGCAGCAGCTTGCTGGAAGGCATTCACCATCCTTCCATATACGGCAACATACGCCGTAGTGCGGCAAAGTCACCTCGCTTCAGCGAGGCTTTTCGGCGGGCGCCGCTACCGAGTTTCGTAGTGGCCTGCGCGGGCGTTGGAAATGGTGAAATCGAATCTTACCTGTATGTCCCGTAACTTTAAATATCCCCGCGGGACTATATTCAGGTTGGAGCCGTGTGCAGATCACTCTCAAGATGGCGGGGATAATGCAAAGAGGAAAACGCCACCCAAAATCGGAAGTGACGTTACCGGAAGACGGACAGCTCTCGATAACTGTCCTCCCTTTAAAATGCATGGGATATATTTCGGTCTGTTGGCGCCATCTGTATCCGCGTACGAAAAGAAGTTCCGCACTTTTTCAACTTACGCTTGGTATTTTATTTGAAGACTAGCATAACAGATGTTTTCTCATTATAAGACGAAAGGGTATCGTCATCACAATGAACAGCTTTGTTTGTTCTGTGAAATAAATGTATTGTTTATTCGATGAATTAGTCATGACAGCCAATGAAACCAACTGCGCATCCTTCCGCCGCTCGAAAGACGTCACAACTGATACATTTCTCCAGCCCGCCTGTATTATGCTGGTGGTTGAGTGAAGAAGCCTCCGTTTCCTTTTATTTCGTTCGCTGGACTTCGAGCTTCTTACTGGTTGGCTTAGGGCGATATGGGACGGTGGAATGCCTTAGCTAAGCAATCCGAATGATTCTCAACCGGAGCTGTTAGCGCCGTCGCGATCCTCCTGCTGGAGGCTGGAGCCCGCTGGTTTTATCAGCTGTAATGGCATCCGGTGGGTCCGCCAAATTCGCCCTTGTTCGTGATAAAGTGAAGCAGATATTCACCAGTGAACGCGTAGCGTACGTCTCGGAAGATTCTGTTTCTGGAGACGAAGAACTTCTCGACATTACCAGCGCACCGCTAAGTCTGATGGATGACAACGAGGACTTTTGCCTGTGTCGGCGCTGTCGCAACGCGGGTGACCCGTCCTCTCAGTGCCTACGCCAAACCAGGATGCCTCCTTCGGGTTTTAATTTGGTGAACGGAGCGCAGCAGAACTGGCGACCCGACGCCTGTCACCGCGTCAGATGCCTGCGTGAACTACAGGCAAAGTGCTGGCGAAAGCTCCGCTCTCCTTTACGTGAGTATACAGACTGTCTGCGAACAATTGATTTGATTGATATGTTGGGTTGAACGTCCCGAAACCATCATATGATTATGAGAGACGCCGTAGTGGAGGGCTCCGGAAATTTCGACCACCTGGGATTCTTTAACGCGCGATGTTTGCGAACAAGTTTCAAATATATATGTAAGTGGGTTCGGGTACTTTTTTTACAGTACTGCAGCCACTAACAATTGGCAACTGGCGTAGTTCAATTTAGGTTACCGCATGGTCGGCTGGAAGCAGCGTAGTTTCCTAACCGAGGCTGAGGGCTGTCTTGTCACATGATACCCTGGACGATGTTGCGGCGAAGCTTCAAACACGCGGATGGAAATACACGCAGCGCAGATGGTCATTTATAACGGAAGGTTAAATGCGTCGATTGGGTTGAGATTCGTATTATCTGCCGAACTCGGATTTTTTTTTTTTTTATGCCACGGTGACAACACTGCCTTACCACGTGTGAGATACCTTATCTGTCAAATATACCGAATTTATTTTCGCATACTTTAGTGTTCGCAGCAACAAAAAAAAAAGCAAAATGTGGCATTCCGTAATGCCTTTTTCTTGTGTTTTTGCACAGGACACTAGTGAAGATGACAGCGATGAAATCGCTTCACTGCCATGCAAACCATCAATCAAGGCGTTCGACCAAGGTGGCCCAGAGACAACTCATTATCAGCTGCCTCATCTGCTTCACATTTATGATAGCAGAAGTTGTAGGTTAGTATGTCTACCCTAATTTGTACATAACTAAAATGTACAGCTGTTTGTAACATTTTAGAACAGTGAATCTGTGAATTATGTTTTTCTCATTATTTTAGGATAAACGCTTGGTGTACAGACATGGGACCTTCAATGTAACCAGTACTAGTGTTGGGGTGAAGCTAAATATTATAACTACCACTAACAGCCGGATGCCACTAAGGTGGAGATAAAGAACATTTTGCTATAGCCTTCCGTGCTTCTGCCCTCGTTAAAATGAGAGATGTCTTAAAAGAGCTACAATAATAACATGGTTATATTAATGCAGGTCAAATTGAAAATGCCGAATGTCATCTTCCAAGTATTCGCTGGGGTAGAAAGTATACATTTGGTTCGACTGCGACGGCCAATGTGTTCTTAAACTCATTTGATTGTTTGATTCTGTAGTTTCTCATAAAATTCATCACTGTGTAGCCGTGGCAAAATACCATAAGTTGTTGATGTCACCCCATTCGAATGAGATTGAAATGTCCAGCATGACAGAGGTATTCTCACTCCTCTGTTCCACTTGTCTGATATGGTGGAGTAAATAATAATGCTCTTGGTAAGGCTTAGGTTTGTCTTTTGATTAGCACTTGCCCGAACAGTGTACCTGGTGTCAATTCTTTTATTTCAGTGATAGTCATATTACAGCAATCCTTCCTGGTGGATTACTGTCAAACCTTATAACAGTGAACACATAACAAATTCATCAGAAGTGTTTCACTTGTGTGGCGATATAGCTATTTTGTAAAGTAACATGCCAATGTTAACAATTAGCTTTGTGGCACATCTTGTGCAGTATTGCCAACTGATGTAGCTAAACGCAGCAGGAGAGAATGACACAATTTCTTGTCCTGCTTGCATCTTCACCCCAAACGTATCCTCACCATAGTTCTGGACTTGCCTGGGCAAACATTGTTTAAATTGAACTTGTTATGTATGTGCTGGATAGATGTAGCTTCGGAAACAATTGGAGTAAAAGATGTGACATGGAGCATGATTTTCCAGTGGTTGTTAAGCTCTCCCTGCTCATTTGGTTTGCATGTTGGCGTGGTTTCAGTGTACTTGGTGGCCCTTCCGATTGTCTCGTTGCGATTGGCTTGTTTAGAGCTAGTACCACAGTGCTTTCTCATTCAGTGAATTGCATTTTCTGGGTAGCACATTTTACATCTTACCTTATTGTGGCCCTCTTGTGTACAGGTGGCTACATGTCCAACAGCCTGGCTATCATGTCGGATGCTGCTCACTTGTGTGCCGACTTGGCTGGCTTTCTGATCTCCATCTTTGCTGTCTGGATTGCACAGAAGTCTCCCACGAAGAGACTGTCCTTCGGTTTCTATCGTGCTGGTAAGAGATGTGCGATTGCCCCATTTCATGAGCGCTTGTGTGCATTACTGTGCCTTAGAGTCACAATAGTGATATCAGCAGCATGGTCACTCATTTGTGGGAAAACTACTGATGCCTGAACGTTTTTGTCTGACTGGCTTCCTATAAGTCTTATAGCCTTGCTCTCTGAGCTGAACTGGTCAGCTCAGAGAGCGAGCAGTGAGGAATCTTCATTCTTTTTATATTTGTTTGTGCCTTGTCTCTATGCTGTTCTAGACAATCGTACTTGTTAAGGCACTCATCATGCCACTTCACTGCATGTTTCATGTTACGAAAAGAGCATGGAAGGGAATTACAAAAGAAAAAAAAATGAGGGGAAAAGCAGAAAGCTGATGTCTGGGGAAGGTGGCCGGCACATAAAAGGGCACAAAGTTGAAGAGGAGGCAGCTTTGCTTATACACAAGTATTTGTTCAACGTAAGTGAAAGGCAGTAACAAATGCTGCAAAAGGTTACCATAAAAACATCTGAATGAGTCTTCGCACAGGAAACTGGCAAAACAAGCTGATGACAATAGCAGATATCGTAGCTCCTTTTCTTTAACACTATTGAAAGTTGGTCTAGTTAGTAAAGATGCATTTTTGGTTACAGTGCGAAACCGACGAAGACTGAAGGGACACAAACAAGCGCTGACTCAAAACTGAAAGTTTTATTTAAAGAACACAAGAATGTGAAAAAAATCCTTAAAAAAGAAGCATATCAACATTGTGCAAAGTATTGAAAAAGAATATCTTGATGGCACATGTGCTAAAAAGGTATGCAAACTATCTTTTACGAGATATATCGATGCCTCACTGACGCATGCTTCATCCATTCGTTTAACATGGAAAGCCTCTATCACTTCCCTTGTTATCTGGCATCTGTGTTTCGACAAAATATTTGCGTCAACAAAGTCAGATGAACAGTCACATTTGCTGCAGTGTGATGCCAGATGCGAAGCATTCGGAGCGAATTTCTGTGCTCTCTTAAGCACACGTCAATGCGTTGGCCACTCTGCCCCCTATATGATACCAGATAACTAAGAAAGTGATAGAGGCTTTTCATGCTAAACGAATGGATGAGGCCTGCATCTGTCTTGCGTAAAAAGAAGTTTGCATATGTTCTCAGCACGTGCCGTCAAGTGATGTGCTATGTAACCTTTTATATTACTTTTTAACACTTCTGCGCAGTGTCGATATGATTCTTTTCTCAAGATTTTTTTCACGTTCTTGTGATCTTCAAATGAAACTTTCAGTTGCGAGTCAGCGGTCATCTGTGTCTCTTCGATCTTCGTCAATTTCACACTGTAATCAATAATGCATCCTTTTCTGTAGTGGTGCCCCTTGCAGTGTTTTCTATCCCTGCAGCAAAGTTTACTCAAATTTTTCTGATTAGTCGATAGAGTATCATAGGACTCTGTACTCTTACCTTAAGAACTACTGCCGGTTAGTAATGCTCAAGCTTGTGCCTCTAAAATCGGGAGTGGCAGGATTACGATTACGATTCATGCGAGTAAGGGAGAACAGTGTTTGCCGGCGGTTAGTGCTTCATTATCGCCCATTTTCTCGTATTTCGCAGAAGTCCTGGGCGCTGTGCTGAGTGTGGTGTTCATCTGGGTGCTGACGGGCATCCTAGTTTACACAGCCGTGCAACGGATTTACCATGATGACTATGACATTAATGCAGACATCATGCTCATCGTCTCCGGCACAGGTGTTGCCATGAACATCTTGTACGTTTATTTTGTTCGTTCATTGTAGGAGCAGTGTGCCAAATTTATGTGCACTGTCATTTTTCATGAAAGGAAACTCGGGAGTGCGTGAGCAGCCACAGCCTCTTTTCGTGTCATCTAGGGGGGGGGGGGGGGGGGGGGCAACGCAACCAGTCATCGGTGATATGGAACTGCCGGCAAGACTGCAACCCTCTCCCCCTTCAAGGTGATTACGCAAGACGCCAGCCTCATGTGAAATCGCCTTGAAAAGAGAGGGGGTTGCAATCTTGCCCACAGTTCCATATCACCACATGATCCGACTAAAGAAGTGACCACTAAACAAGCAATGCGCATGTGCTACTCCTTTCATTCGGTTGTGATTACTGATGGCTGGTTCTTTTTCTCACCACAAGATGACGCGAAAAGAGGCAGTGGTTGCTTTCAATCAAGTTTGAACGTCCTGCAGACAGCCGCTGCAGTGCACAGGCTTTGCGCTCCTATGTTTCCTTTCATAAAAATTGACACTGTACGAAGTCATGTATCTGAAAAAGTGAACTTGGTTTGTGCCAGCATTTGCATGTAAGGTGGCTAGGTGAATGCAGTGGTGGGAAGCTTTCTACTTTTGCTTGCGTGCTTACTTGATCTTGTTCTGTTTACACAGGATTTGTTGAGTGGGAAAATGTACCATTCAGTCAACCTACCAGCATAGTTATGTTAGCCCTGAAATGTTATGTCACTTCTACTAGTAAAGATAAAGTGCAGACACGTGGGAAATCCAAATAAGGCAGAAGTTCAGTGGAAGATGGAACCTTTAAAGAGAGAAAAAAAAAAATCTTGAACGTGGTGTGTCACTGGAGCCAATGTTTCAACAAGTTGTCTGCAATGCAGCAGCCTCGTAAAAAGCATTAAGATGCTGCTGCTGCCTCGCAAGAAGACGAGGCTGCTTGTCGAAACTTTTGCTCCAGTGACACCCCATGTTGCCTCAGTGGCAGCCCATGTTGAAGAATTTTGCATTTCATTAATGTATAGGGTCATTCTAATTTTTTTTGTTTTGAATGTCGATTCTGGGAAGTTATACTAAATGTGAAAGTATCACAGAAGTTCTTCGGTATTAAAGCAACCGAGTGTTTTTGGTAATGCATGTACACGTGAATGTACAGCAAAGGAGTGGGAAAGCGAAATGACTGTAGGAAGGACAGACGTGGCAAGTGCATTTGGTTCCATTCTCACCCGAACTACAGATTTTTATTACTTCTTTATTTGCATTTGTTTAATTTTCACTCATGGACAATGCTGAATTTTCACTCACAGCCAACTACTCCAATTTTGGAATTTCTGAGAAAAGTGAGCTCTGTGGTGTTATCTTGTTAGAAAGCACTTGCAAATCGAAAGGAAGCCAGCTTACATGACTCCCTTTGGTAGGTGATTGAAAACCATGCCTCAGTTTCGCGGGTAGGGCTTGCAATTATTTTCATGTTGTAACTGACTACCGTATAGTATTGTGCTATTCGGTGTGTGACATCGTGACTGATGCGCAGCATGGGGCTGGTGTTGCATGGCTGCTGCCCTTGTGCGGGCATGAGTCAGCACGGCCACAGCCATGGCCTTGGCGGACACAACCATGGTCGCAGCAATGAACGCTCCAACATCAACATCCGTGCAGCCTTCATCCACGTCCTAGGGGACCTGCTGCAAAGCATAGGGGTGCTCATCTCTGCTACCATCGTCAAGTACAATGTACGTTGGAAACCTGTCCAGTCTCATCTTGCTAAAGCTTGGGTTCGGTGCTTGCTAGTGTTGCACAACAACATAAAACAAAGAATAGAAAATATTAGAGAAAGCACAAATGCAGAGTTTAAGCGCAAAGGTTGCCAACTACGAGCTGGCGATCTGTGCAGTAGACCCTCATAACACAGTAGACTCTCATTAAACAGAACCTGAAGGGACCAGTAAAATGCGTTCCGTTTAATAGTAGTTCTGTTTACTGAGAGGTGATTAAGGGTGCACAGTGCAAGAACAAAACCAATCTTGTCAGAAGCATTTGTTCCATTGTAGCAGCAGTTCCATTACCGTAATTACTCGAATCTAACGTGCACCTTTTTTCCGGTTAAGCGAGTCCATAAATCGCATGCGCGTTAGAATCGAGTACGAAAAAAAATGAATACGGTCATTCTATTCCCATCGGCATTTCCAAAATGGCTGCCCCCTACGTGCGTTGGCATGGCGCGTCGGTTATTTCCGCCTATGTGTTTCCCATGTGCGGCACTTCGTACGTGTACTGAGGAGTTCGTCATCTTGTAGTGCATTAGCATCCATGGCATGGAAGGGCTGACTCCAAAAACACGAGTGCACCACAATGCCGCTTTTAAAAGAAAAGTCATCGCATGTGCAGAAACTGACGAAAATCGGGCCGCATCGCGGTTTTTCGGAGTTCCCGAAACGTGTGTGCGGGACTGGCGGAAACAAAAGCAGAAAATTGTCGACAGCAAAGCTTCGCGCAAAGGCTTCAGTGGACCACAGCAGGGTAGGTTTCCGCAAACTGAAGAGCTGCTCGGTGAGTATGTGCTTGAGCAGCAAGCGGCACAGCGGCCCGTAAGGACAGAACTGCTCCAAGTGCGGGCTATGCAGTTAGCTTTAGAAAAAGGGCTAATGCGGAGCCAGTTTAAAGTGAGCAGGTGCTGGCTAACTAGTTTTATGAGGAGAAAAGGCTTTTCCCTCCGAAGGCGAACGGGCATATGCGAAAATTTTCCGGAGGAGTACTATGAAAAGCTTCACAGTTTTCAAAGGTTCGTCCTAAACTTGCGGCACAACAACGGCTACCTGCTTGGGCAAATTGGGAATGCTGATCAGACGCCTCTTTACTTCGACATGCCTGGTACCACAACTGTCGAGAAGAAGGGGGCGAAGCAAGTTCGCGTGCTGACATCGGTCCACGGTAAAACTACAGTGACGGCAATGCGCTGTTACACGTCAGATGGGCACAAGCTTCCCCCATACCTCATATTTAAATGGAAGACGCTCCCAAAAGGAGTCATTTTTTCGAGTGGCGTAATCATGTGGGCCAACGAGAAAAATGGGTGCGCGTTGCAATCAATCTCTTTTTTGTTGTTGTTGTTGTGGAAACCGGGTGCGCGTTACAATCGAGGGCGCGGTAGAATCGAGCAAAGACGGTAAATAGATTTTCATTTATTGAAGGTCTACTGTACTGTGTGTGAACAGCCTCTAATCCCAGCCACGGCGGCCACATTTTTGATGGAGATGAGGATGCTTGAGGCCTTGTACTTAGGGTGCCTAGTAAATAACCCCTGGTGGTTGTCATGTTTGGAGCCCTGTACTACGGAGTCCCTCACGATTATGTCACGGTTTTTGCTTGTAAACCCCAACAGTTATTATAATTTATTTATGCATGGTATCATAGAGGCCCCAAAGCGCATTGAGTAGAGGGGGGTTACAAAAATTTTACCTTCAATAAAGCATATAAAGAAACTGCAGCAAGGAATAAATGAAGAAAATTGTTAATGGAAGGGAAAAGAACAAAGGCTATAATACACTACAGTAAAATACAAAATGAAAAATAAAAAAACAAAACACATCTTTATACAGAAATCAAGGGAACATTTAAACTTGTATATGCTCATGAAATTTTGCAGGGTCTCTTAATGAAATAATCTCCAAAGTGCGATGGCGCGTGCAATGCAGAATCATTGAATGACTATGTGTGGCCAAAGATGCGTTTGAAACTGAGATGATGATGAAAACTTTATGTACGCGAAAGAATTTCAATCGAGAGACAATTTGTCCACGAGCTGCAGTGGTATTTATGGAAGATGCATAGAAGAGTGACAGAGCGGCGGGAATCCAAGTTTGGAAGGGCAATATCGCGTTTGATTTGGGTGATGCTTGAACAGCTATTGTACTTCGAAGTTATGAAGCGGGCTGCACGATTTTGGATGGATTGCACAGCCAAAACTTGTTTAATGTCGCCAACGTTGCCATGTTTTCCATTGCTCTGAATGAGTTTGACATCTTTAGCCTCGCAGCCTAAGCTTTGCGTAGCTTCATCATGATCATCATCCTGGGCACTGAGGTCTCGAGGTGACAAAAAACATGCACTTTTTAATAGCAGGCGTCATTTTTTCAATATGCCAAATGGCACTGCATGTAAGCAAAATGCGGGGATCCTGGAGTGCTCATGAAAAGTTGTGCGGTGGCAGGCACTCTGCAGAATGTCTGCAAATATTCAGATGATGAATTTTTTGCAACTTTCGAGCTGCAACTTTCGAGTAGCAGACAAAGGTAGCAGGACAAGAACTAACCAAGTACAAAACCAAGGAAAAGATGGAAATGTAAATAAAGTAAAGGGGCCAAAGCTGCAACCTTCACATAACTCATCTCCTCCTCCACTTCATTGTGTTCTTTGCATTGAAACGTGGGTGTGCACCGCTTTTGCCGTGGCAGCGAGTGTAGAACACTCTTTTTCTGCCTGCTAACATCACATGGCATGTGATCTTATTAAGAGATAGAAGCTGATGAGGCCCTCGCATACTACCCGAATGCATCCAGTCTGCCTGAACGAGACCCTCGCTATTAATCAAGGAATGAAAGAGAATTTCAAGAGCTCACAGGCTCTGTCCTTGCCATAAGTTACCTTGCGCAAGTTACCTTTTCGTCCTCTCTACTTTCTGCACATTTACTTTGTAATTACCACAGATAACATCCCACATACTTTCCTTGGTTTTCTAGTCTGTTAGCTCTAATTAATGAGGTACCTAACAAGGAAAAAATAGCACTGAAAATTCACCTTTAAGTACCGCAGAAGTAAGAAGTTGAGTGGAAGATGGAAGCTTTAAAGAAAGAAAAAAAAAATCTTGAACGTGGGAATTGGCGTGGACTCAACAATGGATGGTCACCTGATGTGCTGTTTTTTCCAATATCGGATCCGGATTTCGTCGACGCCGAAATGTCTGCCGGCAGCGCGGTTGCCTTGCTCTAACGCGTAGTCAAGCGCCTTCAGCTTAAACGCGGCGGTAAAGCTCGCATACCGCCCCATGGTGAAACGGCGCTTCAACAGACAATCACAAAGCACACAAAAAAACAAAAAAAACGTAGTCTCAGGGGGAAAAAACATTGCTGCGCGATGAACACAGGCCGACCAACAGGCGGCCGCCGCTGTAACAGTGCGGGATGTCAAAACAAACATGGCGGCTGACGGAGCGAACCACTCTGTGGAGCGAAGCCACCGCATTTTTTTTCTTCTTGGCGTCAGTTCTGGAGGTTGTGAGTACGTCATGCACGTCAAAACAGTTTCTTCCATCTAAATAAGGAATGCTTTCATTTAAATCGGTAAATTTACGGCATTAGCGTAGTGATGCCCGCTTTCAGATCACAGAAACAATGATAGGCACGTTCAGCTAGACTTGGCACATGACATGTCGATGCGGCAAGTTCAGGGTGCGATCATTATGCGAGTAAATACGGTACTCTTAAAGCCATGACATCTGCAGGTCAAACGCATTGTGGCGATATTTTTAAAGCAAAAATATTCTGCCTATTCTGACACCGCTGCTTGTCGTCGGAACCTTAGTTGTTGTCCAGAGTGTGTATTGCCCATGCCATGATCATCTCCAAACTGAAGCACTGAAACTTGCACGTCGTAAAGCCTTCAGTCTGGAACTGCATAAGAGCAAGCTGACAGTCTCAATCACTGCACTTTTGGCTCACTATGTGTGGATAGGTTTGAAGGATTAAGTAACACCAAAGACAACCCAGAGTGGTGTCGTGAATTTCAGTCATTAATACGCATTTCTTCGGCGTGCATTGTTTACAGGGCCAGTAAACAACCCCAAGGCTCAAAAATTGCTACTACAAAGAGAAATATGTGCACTTTTGCTTCGTGAACATGCTGCTACAATAATCTCGCGATAAGGAAGTTACAGGGGTTAGAACATCGGTTTCGGCTGGTTTCAACCTATCGTGCGGTCTTGCCACCCTTCTCCCTCACAGGGAGGGGAAGGCACAGCCCGTCATTGTGACTGGTTTAGACCAATAGACAAGCTGCGTGCTACGTGAAGTTTCCGATCGGGGACTTTGCATCAGTGCACGTGAAAGGAGTATTGGTCAGGCGTAGGAAAGAAGCATGAGAATTGTTTTTCGAAACGGAGGCTGTGTGGCGGCGCGCAGCGCTGTAATCTTCGGAAAACGTGATTGCAGCAGTCTACTCTACGAATTGACAAGCTTCTTTGGGGGGTGTAAAAAAAAATGTCGGAGCCTGTTGACTGGCTCTTTAAAAGGCATCTTGTTATCTTATCCTCCCTTTCTGCACATGTGAGGGGAGAAGGGGTATTGGGTTAATGATCATTCCATGGTGGTCTGCACTCTTTTGCTTATAGTATATCTACAGCAACAATACGTAGTCTGTGTAGCCGTGTTTCATGGATACACAGCGGCAGTAACTAACAGCAAAAAGTGGCAGTAACTGAATTATACCTTTCCTCTACTGAATAAGTTTGTGTACTTGCCGACCTGTCTTTATTGAAGAGCTCTATTGAAATGAATCAAGGCAACCTAATCGCACCTTCATTACTTTTTTAAAATCTTGCAGAGCCAGTACAAGATAGCAGATCCCGTCTGCACGTTCATCTTTTCGGCTCTTGTGTTGTTCACAACTGTGCCGATCCTGAGGGATGCCGTGTTTATACTAATGGAAGGTGAGTGTTGCGACATTACGCTTTAGCATATTAACATTAGTTGTTTATTGGGTTGACTAGTTAATCATGTCTAATCATTCTGTTTTATAAGTCTTTAGTGTGTTGGCTTACTCAGTTCAGCAATCCAGACACGAGGGCATAGCCCGAATTTATGCCAATTCATAGTTACACTAAAGGCATTGTCCAATAGGCTGTCATTAAATAGAACATGAATTGACCAGGCAAATGTGTTAACAGCGTTTCATTAACTGAGAGAGATAAACAGAAGGGTAGAATTGAAGTACAAATCCAACCATATTAGAGGCAGTCATTCCATTATAGCAGCAGTTTCATTTAAGAGAATTCTGCTACGTGTGTTTTTCTAATGTGCACCATTAACTAGCTTTAAGAAAGGATGCATAGCACAATGACAGTTCTGAAACTTCAGCTTATAGCTGAAATCTGAGCTTCTATTTGTTCTTAGAAACTGCAGATGGAGACCATATCGTGCTGCAGCCTACCTGGCAGCATAGTTCTACATTCAGCTTGCGCTATAGGACACATAGTGTATTGAATTGGTGGTGCTTTTACTTACGAACATTTGAAAAAAATAAATTTTTCCTGGTTTACAAGGCAATAAAAACGGGACTCAGTGTTGATAGATTGGATAGTTTCGTGTGCTGTATATATATTTGTAGTTTATGTAGTTTGTCATGTAGGCAATGTCGTTTCCTTGTGCCGTCAAATTTATTATTGATTTTTTTGTAGGATTCCCAAAGGACCTTTCTTACAACACGGTAAAGTCAGCGCTGCAAAGCATCAAAGGCGTCCGAATGGCACACAGCCTCCACGTGTGGTCATTGACAGCCAATAGATTCGCCCTGGCCGTACACTTAGCTGTCGGTAAGTGGTGAAACCTCCATCATCCATTGAAACTGAAGTATAAGAAATAGGGCCATAAGAGAGGTGACGCTGAAGTTATTTATAATCAACTAGTACTGCCAGATAAATTCTTTAGTCGGAAGCAGTTCCGAGCGCTTGTCACTTGTGGTTTTCGCTATACCAGCGTGCGAAGTTCAAATGCATCCTGAGCCACCGCTCTCATGCTTGGTGAAAAAGCACATAGTGGAAACTAGTGAAGGAGCAAGTGGAAGGCAGAGCTTGCTGCTCAGCCAAATCATGCAGTCCTGTGTGGCAAGAAGAGTGCACTTATGGAGCGTGAAGTTGCCCCTTTCCCAAGCGCCCACTCTTCATTTGAACACCTGTGCGCTCTCTTCAGAGGGCAGTCGTACAGCAGATTGCCGCTATTAGGTGATAGCTTGCATGAAACAAGAGCAGTGTTAGGATCAGATGCCCTCCTTGTTATGGGGTGCTGCCACGTGTAGGTGCCGTGCTATATACTGAAAAAAAATCAAGTAGCAACTCCATGCCTGCACAGGTATCTCAATGGAAGAGTGAGATAATGTTTCATGACAGGCATGACATGACTCCTTTCCCCTGTGAGCTTTCAGAGCTTGTCAGAATGAGAGAGAGAACACTTAGTGTGTGACAAATCCTAACTTCGTTCATTCTTGACGGATGAGAGAAATTTTTGTCGTGAACAATTCATGTGGCAATGAACTGTGACGTGGCGTGTTTGGGTTAACAGCGTAGGCTTGTGTGAATAGCCAATTTTAGGTTAAAACCAGTGATCTTGGTCAAATAATTTTGAATCGAATTCGCATAATATATATCGCATGCTAGTGCGAAGAAAACGGGCATATTTCTCATGACCCAACTAACCTGCACAGTATTCTTTAAAAATTTTAACACTTCCTGTGCAAATGCCATTCCTTTTGGTTCGAAATAAGTAAAAACAACTTTGAATGCTAGACTTTCAGTAGAAGCCAAGTGGTAACCTGTAAATTGCTGCACCGAATTTTTTATTTCTTGCTTTTCTTTCCCTCCTCCCCTCCTGCACTAAGAATTTTGCCGAAAGGTCGAATGACTGTTTCCACACTGCCAGGAAACACAAAATAGTTCTATTTTCTATTAGTGTCGATTTCTGGGCCTTGATAGGTGTGACCATGGTATTTGCAGATCCCGACACAGACCAGACAGCCGTGCTTCAAGCCGCTCAGAAGTTGGTGCGAAAGAACTTTGGCATCCACAGTTCCACAATCCAAGTGGAGATGTTCAGCCCAAGTGAGATGCTGTCTTGCGAAACCTGCAAGGGACCTTGACACCCTGTCGACCTTTATATGACCTAATTCAACACGCGTTGAGCGAATCATGGTTGCTCTCGGAAGGTTTCGAAATGTCGATATAGAGAGAAGCCAAGCTGAATTTCCTCACAGTTTTAAGATACGTTTAGGAAATCGGGGAAACCCTCCGCCACTGTGTCGATTCTCACTTTTTTCAGTTCCTAATTGTGCACCTAGGTTAAATTGAGTTCATTTTTGAAGTTTTCCATATATTAATCGTTGCAGTCTGAGTGCCTCTGTGAGCTACCTGTTAGAAATCATGCTCTGAAAGTCGCTCACACTCTTTCGGTGGGTGCATTCACTTTAGTGACATTTTGCCTAACTAAGGAACAGGACACATCAGCTTTTACAAGCAGGCAGTGTTCCAAAATCGGCGCATTGTCGTGCACGCTCTTGCTTGTGGATTCTGGCTCAACATGTGCCAACCTGTGCAAAAGGAATTGCATACCCAAAAGTGAGTGAGAACACCACTTCTGTACGTGGCTCTGTGCTCGCAAATGTGTGTGCAAGTCAATAGTCAACACATGGTTTACTGCCAGACGTTCTAGTCTGGGCCGTCAAGTTGACTTGCCCACGATATTACCATCAGTGGCTTTTATTCATTACTGCATTGGCAGTATGCTTTGCCTCAGCTGTGGCAAAGCAAGGTGCAATAAGTCTAGTTACAGTCTTCTGCTGGTGTTTGCAGCCCTATAGCATAGCATTATGCTTCTTTCCATTTTCTGAGTGCAGCTTTCGATAGTTATTGCTTATTCAGTAACATGAATCTCTGATAGTGTGAAGTGTAAGGAAGACTCGAATATATGTGTTCCTACCTTGGACCTGTCATTTTACGACCTCTTAGAGCATTGCTTCCTTGTTTTATACTTGCAATAATAATGCCCGTGTGCATTGCAGATGTCGGAAAATGGTGCTTCGAACACAATCACCTTTTTTCTTTCAATCGCGGGATACATTTGCACTTATCGACTGTACATAAGATGTTTCAGCTGACTGAAAGTTCAAACTTGCATAGTAATTTCAAATCAGATAGATAAAAATTTAATCTATTTTTCCATGGGTTTTTTCGTCTCACACAAAAACCAAGATCAGAGCTTGATGAAAAGTTGGCATTTTAATGTACTGTGCGAATAAAATACCAGTACAATTAGTGAAGAAAACCTTCTCTTCCCCTCTCCCCCTTTTTAGTCACATTTTCTGAAGTGTTGGAAAGTTGATCTTCCAGCTAGTTCCTTTGGGAGTGCCCCCCCCCCCCCACCTCTCTCTGGAGGACAATCCTGCTGGTGATGTGCAATAATTCAGTGAAGCCGTAAATTATAGCCATATGTGTAAAGTGTAGGGTGGCAAGGCTTTCCTCAAGTGTCTCCATTTCAACTATGTAAAACTACAAAATTGGATGATGTTCACTAAAAATTATTGAGGCAAAATTGCATTTAGGAAAAGTTTGACTAACATGAGTTGGCTCTACTGTATGTTCATCATAACCATGACATAGTTAAGTATGTTTTTATGCATTTAAAATGAGTCTCTCATAATGTTTTACGGAGTAACATTTTCCTCTACATGTACCATAGAAGTAAAAAATGCATTTTGATACATCTGCATTGTGAGCTTGGCTTTAGTCGTAAAAGACCATCACTTTTCTGTGTTGAGCTCTGAGAAAACTGCCACAATCTCCATTTAGGGTTGCCAAATGTGTCATGATCCGAGACAGAAAAAAAAAAAAAAAGTGTTCCAGAGTTTCCTCGTGATGTGTGTGTGTCCAGTATTATGCCGACAGAAACAGTGCAACAGCATTTCGTAAATAAGCTGAGTGCTTCAGGTAGTAAACATGTTAATTGATCATGCAGGGCCTCTCCCCTCAATCTATGTTAGGGTTTGAGATGCTTTCCTGGTGAACACTTCGTCTTCCGTAATAAATTAGAAAGTGTGCTATTTGTCATTTTTATTTATTATAGTGTGCTATACCGACCTGTTCTTCATCTGCACTGCATCACATATTAATTGAAACTAGATTGTCACCTAGATATGTAGAGGTAGCTGCTGAGAAAGAAAACTCATTCACAAAACAGAGGTAGTAGCCAGTTAATTTGGCAACGCACTATGCAATTTTACTTGGCAGACTAATGTTTAGAGGTGCAACTGCACAGCTGTGTAGAATGCAAGCCTTTTAAGAGACAACCAAAGCATATCTGAATTGTGTGAACACAAGTGATGATTGTTAAAAGTGTTCAGCATCATTTGGAAACCTACATCTCTTGCTCGCTCGCGTGCTGGTAACCATTAAACATAGTCAACAGTGAGCTTATGGTAGCTATTTGTCCTGAGCAGTGTGTCTGTACTGCGTAGGCTATTTGACTTGCATAGATGACATTGTATGTTCTGTGAACTGATGCTTGACAATTGATGCATCCCTCTCGCAGTGATCTCGATTGTATTTCAGCTCGGCAAGTCTTCATAGCAATCGGCACGTACGACCCCAAAGTGTTATCGACGCGCTGAATTTACCTACTTTTGGTATATGCTAGCAGACTTGCCAGGGCTTTGTAAGCACACCTTGTCTGCAGTTCAAGCTCATCTAGTTATTTCAGTACATATTGTGTCGGTTTTCTTTGTTATGACATGTTTTGTAGTGTTTTTGCTGATAACTTTACAAGCGGAGCAACTTCTTGCCAAAAGCTTTGCTGAAATTTTGATGGAATCAATATGTTGTTGCTCTCATTTTATTTGTACATGAAATTTACAATTGCAACTTGATCCTCCGCAATGTTTGATAAAGTGTTTTCGCTGCACACGGACCTTTGGGAGTAATATGTGAGAAGTGCATAGCTCCTTTGAAGAGCAACGCTTGCAACAGCTTGTACATGATGGCCTGCTCTTTATGCCCTTGATTAACTTTACACCCTATCTGTGAGGAGGTGATTTTGTAGCTTTGTTTATGTTTGCTTACCAAGAGCTTCTCACCACAGAAAAAGCTCTGTGGATACTGTATTTCTTTTTCCAGTTTTGATTGCAATATTTAGTGTACTGTGGCTGGCAGGCCATGCTCTGCTCATTATATCAACTCGAACTGGACTGTGTGGTGCTAAAATGCAGCAAAATGTGGTTAGTGCTATTGCTGTTCTTTTTTTCTTTTTCTCTTCATTTACTTGCTCAACAGTGCTTGTTTGAATGCCTAAGGCATTTGCGCACCAGTACTTGAATACCAGTTTTTCTTACATGTAGTATCAGAAATGGTAAATTGTACTTAAGCTGTTTCTATTATTCACTTGTGACAGTTTGTGTAATTCTATAGACCACGCTGCAAATGTGATTGTTTAGTAGTACTGTGCAGTGTGCTCGGAACAGAAAACATTTCCAAGGAGTACTGTCTGCATAATTATTTACACAGGGTCCTGTCTCACTTCTTTGCACAACACCATACAAATGGTTTCATATCAATGCAACAGGGTCTCGCCCAGGACTAATATTATGATTTGTCTATGTCGGTGGCACAGATGGCTATTGATTTGCAGAGGAACTCCATGCGAACCAAAATAAATATGCAAGGCAATCATACTGCATACACAGCCCATGCAAGCATGCAGAGTGCTTTTTTTTTTCACTTTTTTTTTTTTTTTGCTGGTCTAGAAGCACTGTGTAGGTCTTATGTTCACAGTATTGCTACACACAGTGAGTGTCCTTTGCTGCTGGCAGTAAATGGGAGGAAAAGCATGTTGTTGCCTAAAACACATATCTGCTCAGTTTTCAAGCTTTAAAGATTAGATAGTTTTTGTTATTGCATAAGCCTTGCTCAATGATTGAAGTGTGTGGCACCTTGTTTTGTTTGCAAAATGTGATCAATATTTAGATTGGTGGTGAATGGATAACATTATTCAGCATACAGAGCTTGATGTAGAAGCTTTCAAACCACAAGTTACAGAGGATGAATAAAAAGACTTCATGTGTAGTTTTGCTTGAGCACAAGCTTAATTTGTTCAGTATATATATATATATATATATATATATATATATATAAAGTACCATTCTTTATGCTACTAAACATATAATTTTGCTTTACGATATTAGTCTGGGCAGTCTGCAATATCTGTTCTATAAAACGAATATATCATATAGTTGAATCTTGCAGAGAAGCAATTGTGAAGAGCAAAAACTCGATGCAGGTTTCATATTGTTGCATGTGATATTTTACTCGTTTCGCCTTGTGATGATGGATATAGGACAGAAGTTAACGACTTTACAAGCTCCTCGTATTGAGCACTCAGTGGGCAGGGATAGCTCCCGAGTTCACGAATGGATGACAGTTGTCCAAGGACGTTACTATTCAGCACTGCTGCTCCGCATGAGGTAAACCGCAAATGCGAAGGCTTATCCGCGACTCAGCCGCAATTTATTAACTGTAATTAAAACTAACGCATTCAAAGCCATTACAGTGGATATTTAAGTTTCACCATTAGTGTTAGTACCAACGATTAATGCTGCAAGGCAAAGATTTTAAAAATTTATTCTTTAGATAGGGCCTGTATGTTATCTAGTAAAATACTCAAGTACTTACGAGAAAAAATTGGCAACCATGAATCAGTAGGTCTTTAGTCTGAACACATCTTGGACAAAACAAATTTAGTCGTCAAAAATTGTGTTTGGAGCTCAGATGGAACCTCGTGACAGTGCATGGCTGCTGGAGAGTCATCCTCTGAGTACAACACACATTACTACCAATGAAGTGTTAAATCAACTCTGAAAGCGTACAGACAATTCAGAAACCAATTTTCATTATGCTTTGTTACACCATTGCTGTCACCATCCACCCTAATTGGCATTCCTTTCTTCGAAGAGGTTGTGTATAAACTTGTTTTGCCCATCTTTTGTCTTCTGTAATGTATGTTCACATTGAGTACTTTGAAGACTCAAGGTGGTGGGTGCATTTTCAAAAAGGGCAAAAGAAACAAAACAAAAAAAAGTATTTATTCAATAAGTGAGTTGTGTTGCTGTAGTATAGTGGATTTGTGGTGCACTTGTACGTCAACTGTGTTCACTGATGTTTGTGTACGTGCACATGACTTTGCCACCATTTAGTAGACATTCCATTTTGTTACCAAAACTTTTTTTTTTCCAAGCACGAAGTCATATCTCCAGTGTTTTGGAACACAATGTGCCTGTGGAGTACTTTATACTGCAGTACATTGGCCTGCATGGTGTACAGTGCAAGCAAATAAAATATTTTCACGAACCATACCTCTTATCATTCCTTGCTTATACGCTACAGTGTAGCACAGCAGCTCAAAGTAAATGCCAAGTGGGAACTTGCGAGACATATCGATAGCCTAGCCAACTCATCTGTGGCAGGGAGACACTGGATATAAATGTTTTAAAGAGAAGCTAAAGGGAAAGCGATTTTTCTCATTCTAGTAATTTACTCTTTCAATATTCTAAAATCGCCATGGTTGCTGCTGAAAGAGGCTTGGTAAGTGAGAAAATGTGCAAAAAAAAAAAAAAACTGGTGGTAACACCACCTTTAAATTCCCGCACCAAATGTGATGTAGAGTTTGACTGCATTTACGGAGTCCTGCATAGTTTGCAATGCGTGAAAATGAAGTAGATTGTCCTCTGAGGAGGCCATAGATGACATAGCATAGCAAGTTCCAGGAAATTTCTTTGTGCGAATGTCGCCAAAATGCCAAGAATTGAAGCCACTGTCGCATGCAGATATTTCAATGCGACATCTGAAGAATAAACCTTGCCCTTCATTTTCTCTATTAACCTATAATGGCAAAGTTAATGCCATCACAATTCTCAGCGTGCAACTTGTCAATTTAAACCTGACTTAAGTGTTCCGTAAAGAGGGGATGGGTGTTGGAATGGTAAATTTGGTCAAACGCTGTTTTTTTTCTTTTTTTTTGTAATACTAGGACTGTTTTACATCATAGTGAAATATTAGAACAAAGTAGTAGGAGTTGACAAAAAAAAAGCATTTTACTGGTCGGCTGCCATCTAAAGCTATAAGAAAATTGGACTTAAGAATTCTAAAGGCAGATCTGCAGCTTTTCCTTGTCACAATGCCACTATATTGGCATCATCATGAAGAGGACAGATCGGAGCACATCATAGCCCCAAAGATACATTTCTCTAATGAAAAATGAAGCCAGCTCCCCTCCCGCTTCGTTTTCTTACCTTCTAGCTCCAATTTCTTTAAACTCCCTTCTCTCAGCTTTCACTTCTTGAGCAGTTGCTGTCAGTCATCCCAGCTCCATTTCGTAACAAATGAAGATACAGCCATTCCGTTTTCCACACTAAGATCCTGAGAAATCGGTGAGAGCCATAAAGCTGTCTGTACCTATTATACAGGTTTTTATAATTGGCTTTTTGTAAAAGTTGCTAAACAATATACCCAGGATGTTTCAAAAATTTTCTGTGTGCTTACTTTGATAATAAATAATAAACCAATAGCATTATGGCACACAATAGGCACTTGTGATTATCCTTATCAAAAAACTTTGACAAACTTGTCAAATTAATTAGTTTTGAAATCACCATGACTATATCAAGTGCTATAACTCAAAAACTACATTACACAGCTCAAAACCGATTTCAGTTATATCACCACAACAAATGACATCTACATTCCAAATTTCATCACTCTATCTAAATAAACAACAACAATGGTTTTCGTTGCCATGTCCCCCTTAAAGGGAACACCGAAGCTGTTTTGCATTCACATACTTATTGCCAATTCGGTATCAGCAACCTCTCACAATATGCCTATGCAGGTTTTTTCCACAATATTCAAATAAACAATGGCATTATAAGCGAGGAAAACTGACCAAGGGAATGCCCTCCGGCGCACGCAGAGCGCAGGGGAGGAGTGCGGGAGAGAGAGCACGTGGAGAGGCGACGTCTACTTCGGGTCTGAGCCGTGCCGCTCAGCCTGTTAGTTTTGGGATTGTGCCTCATTTCTGCTGCCTAACAAAGTATCAGTTCTGCCAGTTCATAGAATCCTTTGTAATTACGCCATTCTCTTATGGTTAGAGATTTTTGCCATCCTACATTCACTAGTTGTGCTTGTGCGGGGTTGAAGTTGATTCGCGATGCCGAATTACTGAGCAGCAAATGGTTGCCGAAGCACTTTTGGTCACAATGAGGTCGCTTTTACAAGTTTCCTTGGGATCAGAAGGTGCCTGAAAAATGGGTCATGGCACTGAAAAGAAAGGACTCCAAACCTACCTAGATAAAATGTGCTGTGCTCTAAACACTTCCTGTGACAGTGACTACGTTTGAAGCCTGGTTCTCATGCAGTCGCTGGGATTGACAATAAAGTTTGCCGCTTGTGAACAGGGACACAGTTCTTTCCCAACTGAGATTGGCCGACAGCCTTTGGTTAGTAAACAAGTGTGCAGAGTTCGGCAACCACTATTGCCAGTCAACCATTGGTGGCACAAGGTGGGGCCCTGATTGGCAACCAGTTTCGCTGGTTATTAGTAGGCCGCAGGCGTTCAGCCGACGGTCAGCAAATGATAGGGAAATTGTTGGCACCTAGTGCCCGGGCAACCAAACGTGGTTGGTTGTAGGGTCATGCTTTGTAGCCGCAAGCTGATATTGCATATCTGTGGGTGCAAATTTTACTTTTTTCTACACTGCACACATTATTTTTCGTTCAGCGAAAATTTCTTGTTTGAGGGTTTAGTAGCAGGTTGTACTAGATTATTTGCACAAGATTATTTCATCCATCTGTGCACCACTTGTTATCTACTAAGTCGGCCTGCCGGGTTAGGCCTGTGTTGGCAGCCAGACGTCGGCCCGTGTGCGGCCGTTAACCAAAATCGCCCTCCGCCCAACCTTGTTGGTCAAGCTTAGGCCATCACCGTCCAAGTTGGCCATGTATGTTGGGCCAGCATAGAGTTGAGGCTATTTTTTTTCAGTGGCGCCCTGTTTTTCCGCACCAGAGGGACCCCTCGGTACCACCCCGACTTGCCTTTGTGAAAAGAAAGACTGGGCAAGGCTGCAGGAGTGCTTATGTGCCATAGCAGCGTGTCGTTCGTTGGTGAGCGTGCGCTTACCGCAGCCGTGCTCAGCTCAATGTGCTGCTTCGCTTCTGCGACACTCACTTCGAATTTCTGTGGAACACACAAATTGCGAGCCGTCACACAGACACCGTTCATTGTAGTTTTACTCAATCTGGAACCCAGTAGGCCTTTGATATTCCTGTTGCAGCAACAGCTCGCGATGGAGCCTTTAAAAATATTTATCAGAGCCTGTCTCAATCGCGAATGAAAGTGACCATGTAACGTTGGCGCTTTATTTCATTCAGACTCGGGTCATATTTTTCAATCAGAATCCAGAATCATCAATGCTACACTAACTACAAGCATTTGTGGCCAAATACTTGTAGCTAACCTAGCCCGTTTTGTTACTTTTTAGGTAAGTGTTCCCTGCAAACAAAACTCGTGTAGATTTTTTTTTTTTTGGACTGCGAATTCCAAGTGTGTCTGTCTGTGACGGGTACAGACATATGCACGTATCGTGTTCGCATTGGTTGCTTCGCCTGTAAATGCAGAGTAAAGCCAACATGTACCATGGTGTGATTGCTTCTGGTTACCGTCCTTGCTAAAGTTTGCATTGTGGGGTGGCTATATCTTGTGTTGTTTTGTGTGGCGCACCTGCTGCTTCGTGCAGGAGACGTTGCATTCAATCCTGGCCTCGACAATGGTAGACCAGCTGCTAACTTTTGTTAAATGTATGAATGTGTCAGGCGAAAAGATTGAGACGGAGATCTCAAGGAGAGACAAAGACATGCGAACAAACATAACAGAAAAAAAGAGACGTTTTTCCAAACAGAAGAATAAACAGAAGGATCGTCTGGATCTGACAAAATTGTTCAGATGCTTAGGGACACTCACAACAAACTGAAAAGCATAGAATCAAGACAATCGCAACATTGCACTTTGGTGGTAGAAGGCCTCAACAATAGAATGCGCCAAAATAACCTTATATTCAAAGGAATCATTCAGAAAGACTCTGAGACATGGCAGGAAACAGAAGGGCTTGTGACTGAGTTCGTTTCTAAACACTTAGGAATTGCAGCTGGTGAAATAGAACGTGCTCACCGAAAAGGACAGAAAAAGTCAAGCCATACTTATCCAATAATAGTAGCGAAATTCCTCAACCTCAAGGAAAAAGCTAACATACTGAAAAATACATTTAAACTTAAAAAGTTAGAATAGCCTCGTGCGTGGATTGAAGAATTTTCACCCATGTTGCAGATCATTATAAAAAAGCTTCAAGATTTCACTAAACCTAAACGACAACCCGCTAAATCAGAACAAAACTCTTGTGTCTCTTTGACAAGCTTCTACTAGACAACACGATTTACGTCCTTGGCCATACTATACTAACAAAGTAACTGCCCTGCTGAAGTATCAAGTCCCCACAAAAACCCTGTGACGGATGCATGAACACCGTGATATGCATCTGTCCATTCTTGTGTCAAACTTTCACAGTTTTTTCGAAAGCAAGATCACCATGTGTTCTTATGTCCAATCCTGTTCAGCAGACATAGTCCTGGGCACCAAAACACGGTTACCACACATTTCTGATCATGAATTGTCTTTGTTTCGTGAATTTCATTGTTTAGAAAAGATAGGGTTGCATCGAGAAAGGGTGGTGTGTTGGTCCCGGTAAAAGATAGTCCAGAAGCTTGTGATATTGAAACTAATTCCTGCCTCGAAATCTTATGGGTTGATCTCTGTCTGCCCACATGAAATACCTGTTTAACTGGGGTCTGCTATTGCTTACCTGTTTCATCTCGCAAATTTCCCTATTAAATTGGTCTTTAGGTTTTGTTCAAAATAAATACCCCACATCGCCAATATTTCTTACAGGTGATTTGAACTATCCTAATATTGAGTGGCAATCATGATTGATTGATTGATTGATATGTGGGGTTTAACGTCCCAAAACCACCATATGATTATGAGAGACGCCGTAGTGAAGGGCTCCGTAAATTTCAACCACCTGGGGTTCTTTAACGTGCACCAAAATCTGAGTACACGGGCCTAGAACATTTCCGCCTCCATCGGAAATGCAGCCGCCGCAGCCAGGATTTGATCCCGCGACCTGCGGGTCAGCAGCGGAGTAGCTTAGCCACTAGACCACCACAGCGGGGCGAGTGGCAATCATGCAGACCCCTGAATGGCACAATAAAACGTGATGGTCAATGTTTTCTTGACGTGCTCGCATCT